TKWKAWRMGCSYSYGWKWTYTYWYWCTYYTYWYMCCCCCCACCTTCTTGCCAGAGAGAGCAGGAGAAGAAAAACAGTCAGGAACCTGTGATCCTGCCAGAGTGATGCAGCATTTGGGGTGCCCTCCTAACCTTGTGAAAATGGAAGCCTTTCCCTGAAAGTTAAACAGTCTTTATTCATCTTTATTGAGCGTTTACACCGAGCGGCCTTTTGAAGCCAACCAAAGGTTTGTGCGCACACAGCCTGTAATAATTTTATATTTGCCGCAGAATTTGGGGCGGGGGGTAGGGGGGAGATATAATGCAGAGGCACCACGATGCCAGCAAAGCAGTATTGGTATTTTTTGCCAAAATCTGTGTTTGCTCTGTGGGGTGTTTGTCTGACCTCACTACTCAAATGACATTGATGCCGGTAACAATTTTGACACCGACTTCAAACAGATTTTTTTTTCTCTTTTTTCTCTTCCCACCTCCCTGAATTTTTCACAAGCACTAAAACTGTCATCTCGGAATAAAGAAGCAAATACATACAGGGGAAGCTGCATTAAATCCAGTCAAGTCCTACCAAAGTCCATGGAATGGMATCCTGTTTTCATGAGGGATGTCCYGAGCAGGGCCATGATAAGGGATCTCCTACTGGAAGAAAAATTGGACAGAGGATCAAAGGTGCTAAGCCAGATGCTGAGTAATCAACCAGGTCACTGTGGTTCTTTTCTTGTCCCTCTGCCCAGGATTAATGCATCCCCAAGACAAAAAACAACAGGGAGCATTAAAAAGTACCAGCAAGGAGGAAAGCGTGACTAAGTGTCAAATTCAAAACACACGGCGCAAACAAAATACGTGCCAAGCGGGGATCTCATAAGGGTTTTACAGTTTCACAGCTACTTGTTGAGAAAAATACACACTGCCAGCTCCAGACAGGGAGCAATGAAAACAATCAGCTGGATCACTCACGCTGACAGAGAGAACGGAGCTGCCACGTGCAGCTGAACATCTCTTCCCTCATCGTGGCAGGGGAAACAGAGCTCACAGAGTTTATTTGTGTCTCCTTCAGGCACTTTTAATCAGTTCCATTGGTAGAAAGAAGCTGTGACTGAGTACTAGTGACTTTTTTCTTTTTTTTTTTTTTTTTTAAATTTATAGGTACTTGAAATGTCTTGAGGTCTTGCCGCAGAAGTTTTGTTCAGGTAGCAAATAGTGCAGTTTATTGAAGGAGCAGAAATAAGAGGCTGGGAATTGCCATGGATGAATGCACTGGCTGGGACAGAACTCCAATAAAAACTACAATCTTGTGTTAACCTGGAGTCCAGAAACTGGASACAGAAACTTACAAAAGAAGGTGGCCTCACTTGAGAGAAGGGAGAGCAGAGTAACCAGTCATCGTCTTCATGTGGTTTTTTTTTGGGTCTTCCTCCTAACTGGATGAAATTTCTACCTTCCTGATACATAGCCCAAACTGAACCTCCTCCTCTCCCTCACATCAGGTAGAGAGTTGATTCATATAAGCATTTATGTGATGGCACGTGCTTCATTTAGCTCATTAACATACGCAGGGAATTTTAACTAGCAGGCAAAACTCACTCGTTGACCGTGCTGTCCTTCCAAGTTCTGCTCCTCACAATTATCTTCATGGTATCTCCACTCTCAGCCTCTCCCTCTGTCAGCCCCATCTGCAGAGGTAACACAGACTTTTCTCAGAGAAAAGAGAGATAAAAAACAGATAAAAAGCAGATAAAAAGCCTTGGCCCTTCCCTGGCTCCTCCAGGGACCACAAAACTCTGGAGCAGCCAAGGCGCTGATGATCCTCCACAGCAGCGTGAAGGTTTTCAAACATAACATCCTACTTAACATCCTCAATGTGGTTTCAGATATCTGAAAATGTTTTGCAATTTTTTTCTTTTTTTCCAGCTGGTGAAAGAGTGYGGAGGACAGAAAGTAAGGAACATCCAGATTACTATTTTTTTTTTTTTGCTTCAGATGCCAATTCAAATGAACAATACAGCAGCGTGAAATTTTTGCAACTGCATTTAGGTAAATTGAAGCATCCACATAGAAACAAAATGGTCCATTTCTAGTAAATTACATAATTAACTTTACCTGAACAGTCTAATTTTCCCTAACTCTCATATTCTAACTATGAAAGGAGRGGAAAAAAATCATTTCAAGCTGACCCAAAATAGATCTCCCCCCCACTCCAAGGCTAAAGAGACAGTGTGAGGTATCCTGCATCTCAGCTCATGACTTGGGCCTTTTAGAAGATGTGAGCAGCTACAAAAGGAGCAGATGAAGATGAGTTTAAGCAGTATCATGCTCTGGCAAAGCCTTGGGTTTTGGTTTTGGTTTTTTTTGGTTTTTTTTTTCAGAAATGGGAGAACATGACAGTGAGCCGAGCGAGCGGAAAGAGCAGCCGGAGAAATACGAGCGGTGATTTTAATCACATTTCCCCTGCTGCATTTTTCATTGCTGAAGGGCTTTCACCAGCTCCAGCTGGGATGCTCAGGCACCGATCGAGGAGGGATAAATTCCTGAGCAATCAATGCCACCAGCACTGCCCTGCTCGTGGTTACACAAGGTGACAACCAGCTCAGAGGACGTCCATCCACTTGCCTGGGTCTGCCTGCTTTTTTTTTCCAGTTGAATAACTAATGCAGGAGAAGAGCAGAATGGATATTCCTATGGCAGCAACCAACCTGAGGAAGAGGAAAGGAGGGAGGAGTGTTGAAGGCAGCCAATCGTTTTCATGAGGATGAAAAAAAAAAAAATCAACAAATCTCTCGAAAATTATATTCTGTATTTTATTCAGCCCTGGAAGCAGCAGTTCCAAAAAGCAGGATGCRACTGATAGCAGTCTCCAAGTACTTTATTAGGCTAAAACAATTGTGCTCTTTTCCACATGAATATTTATGAAAATAAAGCAGAAAAATTAATGACATGAGTTTCCAAATATATGCACTTTGGTGGCATTTATATCCTTTCTCAGGGCACTTTCTGGAAATATGCCAACCACTCACAGAGCAGTACTTAAGGAGTACTTTATGGTCTTCTTAAAAACAAAGTCTGTCTTCAAGCACTTTGTTGTATCAGGGACTTTGCAGAGAATTTTATTAACAGAAATATTTGAGCAAAGAGTAAAAATAAACACAAATGTCACAGAAGACAAATTCATAATTCATTGCTGTTAATAATCAGTCTGAAAAGATAATTTCAAGAGGTAGAGCCATTTGAATTGAGTATTACATTGTCAGGRGATTTTGACCACTCTGTACAGCTCAGGTTTCCAATTGTAACCCCTTGCTACAACTTGCTCAAAACTGAGTCCAGAGCAGGAATTCTTTACAGCCATAATCCCCAAAATAGCACAGATGACCAAAATAATTAGATTGCAATCTCATCATAAATTATCCACAAGCAAAAAGCAAACAAACAAGCAAAATCCCCAATAAAGCAAAACTCACCAAACCTAAACAAACCAAAAACTCACCAGAAAAAAAACAGAAACAAGGAAAAAAAAAAGTAGATATTGAATGATTTCACTTTATTAATTGATTTTTCATGTAATTTACAGAGCTCTTTCAATAGTAAGGTTGATTACATTTTCTGAAGCACTTGCTGTTTAAAATTAGAGTCACCTGTGCCCTAAAGCCAGAGAAAGATTTGCTCCTCTAATGGAGATTTAAATGAATGACAATTTAGAGCTATCTGTTAACACAGAAGAGCAACCATTTCTTATAAAAATAATTCCCACATGAAAACTAGTAATTATCTAAGTACAGAGCAGGAAAGTTACATGCTTGCCGGTTGGTTTTTTTTTTCCCAAACCTGACAAACAGAATGCAGATAAAGACAACATCTCTGGAGCTGCMCAAATCTCAAGTGAGCTCTTTCTCACTATCTGAAAGGTAACTCCTGTGGTTCAGGGAAAAAGAGAAGTTTTCTCTGCACTGTGTGAGATTTACTATATCCAAAGCCAATTCTCCCAGACAATAATTCCTTACTGCTAACAGAAGAGACGTGGAACACTTGCATTAACACAACCCATTCCTTCAAAGAAAATGAGGAAAAGTGACAGGAGGAAGCCAGGCTGATCAGAGAGGAAATAAAATGCGGTTACAAGACCAGAAAAAAAAGTGAAAATAGGAAATAGTTGCCAACTTCTACACACACCATCAGCTCACCTGTACACGGTGAAGTCTTGGCCCAGAGACCACCATTCTGCCATTTTTCAGTTTTCCATGTAGGGACCAGTTTTGAAATCACTTTTAGAGAAAGCAGCATGAGAGAAACACAATCTTTGCAGGTGACTGGGAAGGTATGATGCCAACATGCTGGGGACAAGGGCATGATGGAGATAAGGACATAAAAAACTGAGAAACAACAGCACGAGCTGCTCAAGGCCTTGGTAAGACATGAAAGATGAATTTAAATCACAAAATACACAGTTCAGACCTGTTGGAAGGCAGTGACAACCTCTTTTATGCAGAGTGATGGGAAGYGTTTATTTCTGTGCAGATTTTGTGCACACCAACGGAAGAAAGAGAAAGGGAGCAAAGTTTTTTCCAGCAAGGATGATAAAACATTGCTTTACATTGTCCAGAGATGTGGTGACTGCCCCATCCCTGGTAGCAGTCAGGATCAGGCTGGATGGGGCTTTGAGCAACCTGATCTACTCGAGTACGCTCCACTTATGGCAAAAGGGTTGGAGTAGATGGCTTTTAAAGATCCTTCACAACCCCAACCATTCTGTGATTCCACCACAGGGCAGAAATGGAACGTGGATCGTGTCAGCACATTATTAGCTCCTCGGATTAAACCCATCTACCGGAAGAAAAACAACGACGGGGATTTGAAACCCTGATCGTTTCAGACCCGCTGTGCTTTGCTTTCCCTTAGGATAAGGGCGTTCTGTCCTAAAAGCCAGGSCAGGCAATGCCCCAGGTTTGCGGAGCCGGGTCTCGCATGTCGGAACACATTTCCCTGGGAAGGCACCGGGCACAGACAGCGCTGCCTTTCCCCGACGAGCGGCAGCGAGAGACGCGGCTCCCCCTCCATCCGAGCGGGCACCGCAGCCCCACCATCGGTTCAGCATCCCCCGGGACACAGAGAGCCACCCCAGCACTGTCAGGGAACCACCCCGCGGTACCACCGAGCAGTCCCAGGACGCTCCCCCGAGGGTGCAAAGGGGCGGCCCCGCAATCCCTTTTCCTCCCCTGGGCGGCCCGGGGAGGAGCCGAGCGGAGCCGGCGCTCGCCGTCCCCTCCAGACGGGAGAGCAGCGCAGCCCAGCGACCGCCCGCAGCCGCGCCGGCAACTTTGCCCGGCTCCGGAGCCCGGCGGGAG